TGACAGACGATACATACGTTAGTTACGTGTGTACCGAGATAGCTTCGTCACTTTCCGCGTGTGCTCTCTATGGTGTCTGCTCAACTAGCCGGCTCTCTGCCTTCTTGTGCAGGTGGAGAAGCACCTCACTGAGAAGAGGCAGTGGCTGGACAAGAACCTGGGCACCCTCTGCAACCTGGCCAAGACGCAGGACCCGCCCACCAGCGCTCAGCAGATCTGGGCAGAGAAACAGGTACGTACGTCCGCCGTCCCTGCCGTTAGCTCAGTCGTCCGCCCTGTCCGACACAGCCGGTCCAGCCTTTCTCCGGGTGCTCGGCATATGCTTCATTCAGAAAACCGGACCAATCGTATCGCTTCATTTTCTCACCACGTGTTTTAGGTATAATTTATTCAACACAAGTTTCAAAGTTCGGATTTTCGCTCCGGATTGAGGATGGGTAGGTCTTCCGCAGCGAAATCAATACGTTCGACCCGAATAGAAAGTAGCTCGGGTTGTTCAGTATCTGCCTGAGAGGCAGCTGATCAGACTTGTAGCCTCTATCGGTTGACTGTTGCATGGACGGTGGCGCCGTCTGGTTAGTACGTAGCACGTGCCCCAAACGGCACCTACTTTCCGTGTATGTAGATTCATAGAGAGAACATAATATGCAGTATTTTGCGGAGAAAGTTTTATTTCCGATATCATTTATCCGCATCACTCCTCATTGGCCCCTTTTACGGGTAAGACATCTATATTGGAATGTCTAGGGCTGTCTTTTGGCACGGGTAACGGTGTGGTGACCAGGTATGTGCTTGCTCTTTTTACATCGGACTTAACCGTCGTACCGCTCGTGTTTCAGGCGTTCGAGAACCTGGTGAACCCGATCCTGAACAAGCCCAAGCCCAAGCCGCCGAAGGTGGAGGAGCCGCCGGCGGCTGACAAGCCTGAGGAGAAACCCGCCGAGAAGCCTGCGGACGCCAACATGGATGTCGAATAGCGCGCGCCCCCGCCCGTCCGCACGCCCCCCGGGGCACAGACACATCGCCACTCGCTAGCGTAATGGGAGTCCGGGACGCGGTCCGGCAGTCCGGAAAGTGGACTGACAGGGGTCCGGGAGACTGGGCGCGGACTGATATGGCTCAGGCATCGTCTGACGGCAGTTTGGGAGTCCGGGCACCGCGGACAGTGGTTCGTGAATCGTGATTCCGGATACCGGCTGACGCGGGCCAGGAGTCCGGACTTCGCCTGACAGCGTTCCGGGGGTCCGGGAGCTGTCTGGCAGCGGTCCGGGATTCCGGATACCGTCTGTCAGCAGTCCGGGATTCCGGACAGGGACCTGTGACCGCGGACAGTGCCGCCGACTGGCAGGCGAGTGACCGGAGCTATTTATTGGACGGTGGCAGGCCGACGGGTTTGGCCTCTTCTAACTGGACTGTCGCGTTTCGTCATCAGTGACTTGCGTTGCGATCCCGGAAGGTTGTTATGTTCTGCTACGTAGCTGCATAACGCCGCCTCCTCCGAATTTAGTCATCCTGTTACGTTTTGTAACCGGGCGTCGTCCGCCATAATTTTCGGATTTCTGTAACATTGCATTCAATATACGTCAAATATAGATGTCTATTGTTTGTTGGGAGTTGGTCCTACCCTGACCGTGCATCGTGCTGTGAGAGGAGAGACACACTGAGGGCGGGAAGAGATTTCGATCAAAAGCTACGATAACGAATCTTGCAGGCAATTTAAAACCTGCAGGTTCCCTGCGGCAATTAATTTGAAGTTTGACCTGAACTACCCAAGGCCGGTGTGCCGTTCGTGAGAGGGGAGTGAACATTGAAAGTTAATAATTTGGCTCGGCGTTGATATTTTTTCAGAAACCCGCATTGGCAACGTTATTTACTCAAGTTTGACCCGACGTCCCGTATCAGACACATTTGTGGTCGGAATACCTCGAATCTGATTTTGACATTTGATTCGAAGGTCTAGGATTTGTGCTAGCCTGCTAGCGGTGCAGAGAAATGTGGAGCGTTAAAAGGTTGATCCGCCCTTCCTGTCTTGCAGCCCCCCCCCCCCCCCGAGGCCCTGACCTTGATTGAACTGTTTCACTCGGCCTGGGTTCAGCCGTCAGCGCAGACACAACATTCCTCGCTATAATGCGGTCTCGCGTCATTTAATCACAGACTCATTAGTTGAGGCTTGCATGAGCTTGGTCAGCATCGGCATGCTAAGTTTATTTGCACACGACAGGCATTCACACTTGGATAAATGTTGAGCGGTACATTTAACATGAAGCATGTTGCATATTTACGTAATGATTCCCACCGCTCTGGACGGCGGCTGAAGACAGTGTAATGATGGGGGCGCTGTTATGCCTCGAGGGGGGCTACCCCAGCGGTGCCACGTGCTGTTCAATAGTAGCGCTGTGGCTGCACACACGTTGCCGAGCAGTTGGTCTCGCAGCACTTCTGGCTGCCGGGACACTGCTGGTCGCTATAGCAATCGCGGCGGCAGTAGGCGCGGCTGCCGCCGGAGTGGTACGGATAGCTGGGGTAGCTGGCACCCGCCGAACCCGGGTACGGACAGGTGCCCGGCTTCTCGTATCCAGTGCTGGGCGAGCGGCACGTGCGCGAGCAGCCCTGCGTGCAGCACTTCTGCGCGCCGTAGCAGTCGGAGTCGCGGTAGCACTCCTGACGGCAGTAGGTGCTGCTCACCACGCCGCTGCCGTAGACGAGTGATGGACAGGTGCCCGGCTTCTCGGAGCCGTTGTTGTTGAAGCAGCACCGCTGGTAGCCCCGCTGGCAGCAGCTGCGGGCGGTGGTGTAGTCCACCGCGCCGTAGCCACACGACTGGCACTGCGAGTTGTAGTCGTAATTGTTGTAGTCGTAGTTGTTGTAGTCGTAGTAGTAGTTGTAGTCGTAGTTCGGGTACCGCCGGTTGTAGCGGTTGCGGTTCTTCTTGAAGAAGAAGCGCGCGCTGGTCTCGCCGTCTGTGGCGATACCCTCAGCGTCAGGGTCGGTCAGGGGTGGTGCCGCCGCCACGGCCGATGACTTCTGCTCAGGGGCCGCATCGGCAGCCACCAGCCGAGCGCCGGCGACGGCCGCCACGAGCAGCAGCAGCACTCGCACTGTCGGAGCGTGGCACGACATGGCTGTGAACTGCCAAGAACAACTGCCAGGTGTGACCGCCTCCTCCGGCACCGCCGATTTTAAGGAGCGCCGGCCGGACGCGGCGGCCGCGGCGCCGGAGCCGAGGCGGGCGCATTGTGTGCCCAGTGAGTGTGCGGGCGCCCTTGGCGGCGGCTTCCTGCGGCGCTGCTCGTGCCTGTGGCCGGACACGGTGATGGCAAACACGGCCCCGCCCGGCCGGTCGGCGTAGGACCGGGCGCGAGCTGCGTCCGCTCTGCGTCCTGGCGCCCTGAGTCAGACTCGGCCCGGTCACCTCGGTCAGCGGGCTGAGGTCAGGCGGGGCCGAGGCCGAGGGAAATTTCGAGATAAGCGAGTGCACGATCGGTGCCGTGCATTCGTCGTGCGAACAAGTGTGTATATGTGACCTAACGGGCATTGGTAAACGAATATCGGCAGTTTTACGTTTTATGGACGTGCTTCGCTTTTGCTTTCAGTTCGAGCTCTTCTTATGATGCATGCTGCTTAGCGATGTATGACTACTTCAGATTACTGCGATTATCTTTAATTGAATGTGTTGGTCGTTGCGTCATCGCATCACTTCATTTTGCCACAGAGCCTATGCATGTAACTACATTGTATGTACGTATCTTGATCAGACCTATTCTCGATCACAACTTTTGAGCTGCTCCACTAAACATCCTAGGTGTGCATGATGTAGGTTTATGGATGAATGGAATGTGTTTTATCGAATATATGTAGGTAGAGCAGAACACAAGCGAACGGCAAAGGGATGCTGCGTAAGCCGGTGCGTTTTAAACCCAACAATGACACCAGCGCAGTGGGGCCAAATAAACGGGGAAGGTGAACGTGCCGGCTGCTGCGTGTGTAACTTTGTAAGGTAATGTGCTCTGTGCGTGTGCATGCGTTTAGTACGAAGTTTTAAAGGGACCCTCCCACCTTCAAAAAAGTTTATGAATTGGCATGAAAGTGATGTCGCTCGGTTCAGAAAGAGCGAAAACGAATATCTACCAAATTTCACCGAAAAATATTCACCGGTTTTCAAGATATTGGACTTTTACTTTTGTTTACTTTTTTGGGATCTCCGCTGTTTCTAGCGACTTTGTTTTAGAAGTGCGGCGTTTGCGGCAGATGTTGCGCGCAAATAGCATATACCACCGCGTGCTACAAAACGTTTTAGTCAAACATTTAAAAATCGTTAGATATTTGCGCTGACGTCACACATTCAGACGGGTATTCCTAAGCATTAGCCCCTCTGAATCAAAATGCTGCAATTTTGAAATTCAATATTTCCGATTTAAGGCATTTCTCGATGTTGTGAGTGCCGAAACCTGAATTGTGAGCCAGGGACCCCATTTTGGCTATCTCAACTCAAATCTAATGTTAAGGTGGGAGGGTCCCTTTAAGCATGCTTTGCTCTACAGCGCAATTCGCCGTCGTTTGGCTGACGTGGTAATGGGAACACATTATTTAGAGGCTTAGAGCAATGTATTTTAGGCCTACTGACCGTCTGCACATGTAGACGGTCACACCTGAGCAACATATGCATGCAATGCATAAGCTGGGATTGGCTCACTTCATGGCCATTGGTCGCTGCAGTACCTACCATACCTATTTCAAATTAGGAGAACCATATTTTTTCACAGACTTGACAGCATTGTTAGCAATCACTCACTAGCGGCCTACCCCCGCTCCATCGAGACCCGACTAAGCGACTTTTTAGTATTCACCTATGCCGGTGCATTGAGGAAAAACATACCTAACCATGGTGTCCCTGCTCCTCCGCCCCGTCGCTGGTGCCTATTGTGACCTCGCCGTCAAGACGGCACGAGTGCTCGCCTATCCTCCACAGTCTCATTCTCTACACCGGAGGTCCTCTTTATATGTCGTCCGTATCGTGAAACCATGTCCGTCTTTCAACGTCATGCATAATCTCGACTTCAGCTTTCGTCGAAGAGATATTGTCATACTCAATTGTACCGGTAATAGTTAACACCAGCGTATGTATAATGGTGACACTTTGTGACACAGCTTAAAACGTGCCCAATGATCGTTCAATCCTCGCCGTAACATTGCTCGTTCCGAACGAGCAATGTTGTGGCGAGGTCCCGACAAGTTGGGTACCCTCGGTTCGTAGACTGGCCAGTGGCCAAACAGGAAGCGGCGGCAGGTTCCGACTCTCGTGCTCTCCGCTATAGTTACCGTACGGCTGGTCGGTGACAATATTCCTATTACCTATAACCACCTTAGTCACAACTCGTCACCCTCGGGTTGGTGCAGGTCACCGAGCCGACTGAGGGCGTCCCCCGTGATCCGGTGCAGGTGCCAGCCGTCAGCCGTGAGGTCCACAGCTCCCAGCTGCCGGTAGAACCTCCTCACCATCGCGTTCCCGTCTGGCAGTGTGAAGTTGATGCGGCTGCAGCGGTGGCTGCGGGCCCAGTCTGCCAGTGCGGCCATCAGCCGGGCGCCGAGCCGGTGGCCGCGGCACGCCGGTACCACGTACAGATCCTCCAGGTACGCGGTACGGCCCACGTGCGCCGAGTACGTCACGTAGTGCAGACAGATGCCGACCAGCTGACCGGGCGCGTCCCGCCGCTCGGCCACGTGGCACGTGAACGCCGGCGGCCCGTGGCGCGGAAACCCGTCCTCGGCTAACTGGGCGGCCGTCATGACCAGTGGGGTGGCGAGCTTTATCTCGGTCAGCAACTCCTGAAGGAAATCGTACGAGGCACGCGTTGATGAATGTGGCCCGAAATGAAAAATGTAAATAAACGAGCTTTTTATGATTCATTATAAGATTACAACTTGAAGTTTCTTTCAAGCTAAGTAACTTAACCCTCGCCCGTATAGGGGGGGGGGGGTCGAACGGACCCCCCTCGGTTTTTCGCGAATAACTCGCGTAAAAAGCGGCCGATCGCGACGAAACTTTCAGTACCCTCGCGTTAATCAATTTTACACCTACCCTGAAATTTTCATGACCCTGACCGTAATGACCTTTGACCTGTGACCTACTTTTCGAGACCATGTTTGGCCGGAATCGCGATTCGGCGTATGTCGGCTCGCATTAGCCGCGCGTTTGCAATATTTTCGTGGTTGCGTTCAACCATGGGATATGATGTTGCTCCCATGCATTAGGGTGGGTGTCAAGGTCACCGAAAGGTCAGGTCATTGACCTTTGATGACCTCGGTTCACTTTTTCGAGTTTTACATGTTTTTAGGCCAGTTTTTGGAGCTGAATTCGAAATTAGCAACCATATGAACATTTACGAAGTAGTTTTGGTGCCTTCGTAACATGTTACGAAGCTGTCAGAGGCGGTTGCCACTTACTACGAATACCCTTACTGGTTGACCTGACCTGACCTGACCCGACCTGGCCTACATGCATGAAGACATCATCTGTGATCAAAACTACCATGATATTCGTGATCAGCACCCCGAAAAAACCCATAGCAGCCACGCTTTACGACTTCCGAACAGGTACCGATTTTCCCGACTTTTGGGTCATTGACCTGACCTGGAAGGTCAACCGATGACCTAGGACCTTAAAATTGGGAATCATCGGCTTCCTCTCGTCACGGGTAACACGCTCGTTTTTTTCCGCGAAGCTCTAGCTCGATCAGGGGCCAAACGGCAAGGGGGGGGGGGGGTCCAACGGACCTCCCCCCCCCTTGCGGCTGGAAAAACACCAATACGGGCGAGGGTTAATTTCATTAATTCTACGAGTATTATCCCGTATTCTATTCCTGAGTATGAGGACTGCGATTATCCACCCCAAGTAATAAAAAAGCATGTGCTTCAGCCTTCAATTGTCTAGAAAAGTGAGCGACAAAACCTGTTTTAAGCATGTTTACCTGCACCAGGTTGAGAATCAGGACAATCGTCCCTAACAGCCACTCGGATCCGATACCCAGACTCAGACATGTTCACTCTAAGGTCCGCTATAAGCGCTGAGAGCACCGCTCTACTCAGCCGCTCGCCAGCCACCGGCACACCGGACTGGTTTGTTAGGTTTGTCGCTGGTCGCTCCGCCAGACGACAGACTAAAATCAGTGCCATAAATCAGGGCTGATGTTTTAGTAACTGGGATGAAATTGTTTATATAGCGCGCCTCTGGCGGATCCAGACTTGCGTTTTTAGGGGGGGGGGGCGGAAGGCAACGCATGGCCAATCCCGAAAGTTGCGGGGGGGGGGTAGGGCCGATGGCGACAAAAAAGAAAAGCCTATATATGGATGTTAGCAGTGTTTAACCCTCGCCCTGGCAGGGGGGGTTGATGCGACCCCCCCTAAGGTTTTTCGAAGATAGCGTAAAAACGGCGGCGCGCAGCGCCGCCAAATTTGGCACAGCTTATGGGGCAACCTTTTTACATATAACCCGAAAATTTCAGGTCCGAGTGACCTTGGGTCAGGTCAACAGGTCCATAGGCGGCGGAACGGGAGGGCACCGGGGCACCGTGCCCCCCTTTGATTTTGGCATTTTAACATTAGCCCTATGGGCGTTGCATGGAAAGAATGGGACCAAAAGTCGACAGTGCCCCCCTTTAATTGAAGGTGCTCCGCCGCCACTGACCAGGTCAGAAAAACCGGTACAAGGTCAAGGTCAAATTTCAATTTTCTTTTTGCACCTGTCCAGCTCACAGCTTTGGACTGATTTTCTTCAAACTTTCAGGATGTGCTAAGTTCACCGAGTTGTATAACATATAGTTCGTTTTTTAGGTCACTGACCTGAGGTCAGTTAGAGCCTAGAGGTCATTACGTCGTAATGTTAAGCCTATGGGAAAATGCTAAATTCGGAAAATACTGGAGATATCCGCTTCGTTCTATCACTTTTGTGCTTTGAAACCACAGTACTTAACAGCAGGTCACTTGGTGCTTCTTTGTTTGGTGTACTTATCCATGGGTCAGGTCAAATGAGGTCAACTGAGGTCAAATGACGTTTTTGCCAATAACTTTGCACATAATGACGCTAGAGCTTAAAAATGGTATCATTGTGTTCCTGGTGATCAGTCGAATCGAATGATATGCAATATGATGCAATTTGGTTAACTTGAGCTTAATTCATTAATTTAAGTTTACTTAAAATTTAAGAAAAACTTTAAGTACACTTAAGCAAGCTAAAAAGTATATAATTTGACGCGGCTTGACGTCCTGAGTTCACTGGTGCTTTTCTTTTTGCTCTATCTTAATTAGATCAAAAGTTATAAGCGAAAAACATTTGACCTGTTTTTAGCGAAATTTTTTACATTTATACCCCCCAAAATCCCCTAAATATTGACCTAGAGCAACCAAATTTGCACAGGGGCGAGAACTCCAGGGGGCCCACCTACCTACCAAATTTGGTGTTTCTAGGTGCCATAGGAGCCAATCGCGAGGGGGGGGGGGTCGCATCGACCCCCCCCCCCTGCCAGGCCGTGTTATGAAAAATGCCCTGCCAGGGCGAGGGTTAACCCGATATTTCAAAGTGGTCTTTATCGATTCATCAATGGGATTCTTTGAGGATATTTTTTTACCGTAAGTTTAATGCAAAAAAAAAAAAACAACAGTAAAACGTTTCCTAGCAAAACTGGACTCACGTGGGACTCCTAAGAGACCATTGGAGCTGCAGTTGGCTACCTCAGACGTCAGGGTACGCCTTCAGATGTAGGTATAATAGGACTCGCCTGGAGGCCTCGCTCAGGCTACACTTATACGGCCTTGGGCTACACTAGCAGCGTTTTTTTTTTCGGTTTCTGCGGGATTTCGGTTTCCCCGCTTTTTCGGTTTCCGCGTTTTTTCTTCGTACAGGGCGGCGGCCTCCACGTGGACGGCTTTGCTTACCTATAGGATAGTGATGATAAAGTGATCAATTTACGAAAATAGGTAGGCCTATGTTATATGTATTCGTATTTTTGCAAAACTATTAACAAATAATTGTTTTGAAATTTTGCATGTAACCATGAATATATTTATGACAGTACCTAATCATTCGTCAGCTACAAACCGACTATCATGCGTGAAGTTAGAAGAATGTAAGCTGAGAATCACATTTTCGCTGTTTTATTATTCTTATATTGTTTTTCACTATACTTTTTATCATTATTCACATTGTTTTCATTAATTTAATATAATTAAAAATGTATTCCATCGTGACCCCCTACCTAATTGACCACAGTGATTTCTAGCCGATCATCACTAAAACAAGATCCCACAGAAACCGAAAAAAATCGAAACTATATAACTTTTTCGGTTCTTCTTCAGACTCGGTTTTTGCGGGATTTCGTTCCACGGGAGACCAGACTGGCAGTGTAGCTGGCGCAATGCATTTGCTATGGGACGAACTTAACGACGCGAGCCGAAATCCCGCAGAAACAAAAAAAAAAAACGTCAGAATCCAATATATACCTAATGTGTAGTACCTACCCTGGTACCTACATATCTTTCACCCACTGTCCCCGCTCGCCAGGACCGGGAACACGATAGAATATCGTCTGTCAATCACTCTCTTTTTGTTCCAACGTAGGAGGCCCCAACGGCATTGCGTGCGGGCGCGTGATCATGGTGTACGTGAAAGAAAGAAGCTGCAGGTAATATGTTATTAACGATTAGGTGCAACTTTATTTATGATTATGTCGATTGATTGTGTTGAGTGATATGACTTTGCCTATGTAGTTAATAGCCGTTCTAGAAAAAAGCATCAAATTAACCCGCTGCAATTTCACGATAGATATTCAACATCGTTAGGTTAGGTTAGGGTAATTCGCTCATTCTGTTCTAAAGAAAACAATGGTCGGATGTCAATACGTTGAGCGATCTTGGCATCCATTCGCAAGGGCGCGGGAACTACTTTCAGATGGAGGGGGGGGGCACACCACGATAGAGATCAACCTAGGATACCCCCAAATCTAGTTTTCTCACCGGTTTTAGGCCACTTATTTACCACCCATTGATTTTTTCAACAAAAAAGAAAACATATGCATACAAAGTGCGGTATTCCGTATCAAAGTTGTGGAGGCACCGCCCCCACGGCCCCAGAGTTGTAGGGGCAATCTGCCCCCACTACCCCCCCCCCCCCCGGTTCCCGCGCCTATATCCATCACGGTGATATCGCTTCTAGCCATGCACTGCCTTACACTTGGCTTACGAGTATGTTTGTTAGGGATATATTGATAGCCAAACGGTCACAATCGTTAACGAGCGCCCAGCTGCAGTTCCGCTGACCCCGGCGGTGTTAGGCGGGCATCGACAGCGCGGCGGTCTGCCCGCCCGTCTGTGGACGGTGCAGTTACCTACCCCAGTGCGGGCGGCGCGCGGTCAAGGACGACGATAAGCGCCGACCGACCGAGCGGCTGACCTATGTGGCAAGGCGACGCCCCTTCCGGTCAAACACTGGCATACCTACTGCGCAGGGGTGACGGATTCAGAAAATGGTTGGAGGGACTATAGGAGGCCGAATACAGTAAAACCAATTGTTGACTCCCTTATGTTTAACCCGCGCCCCAGTGGGCGGTCTCAGCCAACTTCGCCCTAGTGGGGGGGGGGGGGGCATGAGGAGGAATCATCCGCGGAACGTCACGTACAGCGCAACACAGACAGCCAAAAAAGGTGCACTACATTTCAGACATCAACAGATGCCGATGCTAAGTCCTTGTCGACATTTATGGCGGATTTGCTCATGCGTTGCCATTTTAGCCGGTTTGCACTCAGCCTCAGCCGCTTTGCCGAGTATGTGGACAAGAAACACTCAATCAAGAGTATGGTTAAGCTGGCCATGACGGCGAGTGGGACGATAAGTAGCAGCGCGAACGAGTTGACCAAAGAGATTGGTGTCGCCTCGGTTGGACGGGGACACAAATCAGCCTTCCGAATCCATTTCTTTTTCAGTCGCGAAACGACGCCACCTTCGTTCATCCTTCGCAAAACCTGGTTCATTGGTTTTCTCAGAGCATCAAGCTCTTTGGCGATGCCGATATAATTTGCAACACCCTTTAAAGGGAAATCATACAAGCGGGTGAGATTGCACGCTTTGTTGCCGATCCTACGGAACAATGGATTGATGTTGAAGAAACTCAGTGTCTTTGGTTTCAGCGAAAGAAGGTCTCTTTCGGCTACGGTGCTGTACGGAACCAGACGATCTCTTGCAATAACTTGCTGGTATAATTGCTCCACATATGGATCCTTGCTCGCTTTCCAGTCAGTTAAAACAACATGGTCAGGGTCTACCAGCAGCTTCCAGTCAGATCTTTCCGAGAATTCCTTCAGACTGTTGATCGGTCGTTCGATTTTGACAATTGTTAGATAAGAAACCATTGTCGCCGTGTAGCTGTTGACGATGATGATGTACAACAGCCAGGTGAGCATTGTGATAACACGGCCGGACAAAAAGCTGGGCACCGAGGGCCAGCCCTGGCCGACCAGCGACCCGAACACAGACAGCAGGCAGGCCGTCCACGTCATCTCTGTGCTGGTTTGCCTGTCCTCGGTCCTACTCAGTCGAATGGAGAACCTCAGCGCCAGTGAGAGCAGTAAGAACGCGCCGAGCAGCATCCACCAGACTGACACGTGGAGCGGCTTTAGTAAAGGGCTAAAACCATCAGCGCTGAAGCTGAGATTAGCATCCAGGCTCTTGCTGACGTAAAAGGTGCTGACACCCTCTTCGACAGCTGCAGCGTCCAAAAATTCGACCACCTCCGATCGGTCCGCCCTTTTGTGGAGCCAGGTCAGGGCTACATCGGCTCTCCCGTAGGCCAGCTCTCCCACCAGTCCAGTCCATGTCCCGTTCTCATCCAGCCGTCCGAACTGTCTCTTCATTACGGGTACCAGACGGTAGCTGAGGTTCAGCGGCTGGGCTATGGCCTTCCACACATCAAACAGATAGCCCTCATAACTAACAGAACCGTCAGGGCCGGTGTGTATCCAGACGTAGGGCGGATCATGAAAAGCCGCGACTCGCAGCTCTGGCTCCGTGGCTAGATCGTGGCTCTCCGTTGACCAGTTTCCGCCCACGAAGT